TTTATATAATATTATATATATATATATATATATATATATATATATTTAATATTATATAATAAAAATATTATTTTTATTTAAATATTTATAAAAAAGCATTACATTAACTATGTTGATTAAATAATATCTTAATATTTATGTTTGATTTTTTTATATATAAATTTAAAATTATATACTTATTTTCAATAAAAATTTATAATAAATTTTAAAATAATAATTAAATATAAAAATCAAAAATTAAATTAGTAAAATGTAACATATTTAAATTCGTTAAAGGAGAATAATATTATTTTATCACAAAAAATAGAAAGTGTTATAATATTTATATATTTAAAGAGATGTTAGTATAAGTATTTTGGTAATAATTTTTTTAAGCAACAAAAATTAACAAAACTTTAAAAAAAATTAAAAATAGATAAAAATATATTATATTAAAACTTATCAAGGAGAAAATTATAATTTTTAACATAAAAAATATATGTTATTCGTATTTATAGAAGAGTGGAATGTAATTTATTCATAAAAATCTTGGAATGAATGAAAAAGAAAAAAATAAACTAACAACTGATGAAAGTTATCAATGTCATGGAACTTTACAAGATACTTCCAAATTCAAACCTAGGCGGATGTATGGATCAAATCTTTGGACTATCAGCACATATAATTTTCATTCAATGTCTCACGAAATAAAATAATAAATTACGTATTTTCAGATTACCCATGATAAACCTATCCTAGAATGTGAATGTCCACGCACTTTAATTTTCTTTTTATTAAGAGTTTTATATATATATATATATATATATATATGTGTGTGTGGGTAAAAAAAAGTATAGTTTTAACTAATTAAAAATTACTGTTAATATACATTTAAAACAATTATCATAAAAGTTAACAACTTTACTTTACATAATAATTTATAATTAAATAATAATGTAAAAAATTTATCATTAATATATTCTAATTGTTTCATTATAGAAAAAAAAAATCTGACATCATTTAAGAATTGATATTCAGGTTACTAATTTATAAATAATATTTTTCTTTAATTACCAAGACGTCTTTTATGGTGCAAAGACCTAATGATAATTTGATGTCGGAATACTAGCTAATTAAATTATGTTATAACTGAGATATTTCATATATTGTAGGATGCAAGATTTTTTTTTTTGTTCCAAATAGTATTAAAGTTTTTTACGTTATATTAATTAAAAATTACTTAATTAATGAAAACTTTAATGTAATTATTCTAATTAATAATCTTATAGACAGCGTACTTAAGAAATATTAACAATATTATTTAATGTATTTTTTTAATACATTCCTTATTATCTGGTAAATTTTATGTAAATCAAATGAAATAATTAATAAGACTCAATACATAGTAGAACTCGCAAATTTTACCAACTAGAAAAAAAATATTGAGAAAGAGTATATTAAATAATATATTACTGACATTTCTCTAAAACACATTCATACTAATTAAATGTGAGCAAATAATAAATGAATGAATTAAAATGCTTATTTTTACAGCGCATGATCATAATCATTTTATTAAAATAATTTATAAAACATATAACATACATAAGTATTTTACTTGAATAAATATTTATACATAAATTTTGCTAATTGCCAAATTATTTGCCACATAAAATTAGTAAGAATAATATCAAACTCTGAATTAACATTTATTTAGAGATTTGAAATCATTTTATGTATTGATGAGTAATCAAATATTAACTAATCTAGTAACCAAAGGCGAGGATCATTTGGCTTGAATTATTCCAAGTTCCAACATGATATGTAGATCGATCTGACTCGAGTATGATTGATACTTTTGTTCTAAAAGAAATATTAATTAATCCATTACAAACATATTTATCTCTCAATTATAATCACAAACCCCTCACACGGTTGAATAAATCCCGAGAGCAAGTTTATCCGAGTACGGTAGTAAATGAATTAAATGTGTTTATTAATATTGTATTGACTTTATGTGAAGTTGAAAGTTTATTCATGCACTCATTTTAATTAAAAATATTGCCCACTTTTTATTTGAATATGATATTGATATATGGACTGTGATAAGGATTTAAAGCACCGTTGAAAAAGGAAGTGTTGAGTGGTCAAAGAAAGTAGCGGTGTGCTATTGAGTAGATAGATACTATATTTTAATTTTAAAAATAAATGCAGGATTTTATTTTTATCGACGAGACTCTCACGTCACGTGTGTCAGAAAATGCGTCACCCCAATTTGAAGAATTCGGGCCGACCCATTTAGAGTATAAAGATGGGCTTTAGTATCATTTGAGTCAACAATTTATCAGCGGTGAATAGGCCCATCAACTAGCAGAAATGTATTTTTTGTATGTAATAAATTTAATCTTTAATAAAAGTTAAATAATAATTTTAAGAAATTTACATGATTTAACTCTGGGTCAATGATAAATAAATTATAAATTATCTTATAACCTTCAATTTTAAATAAAAAATGATATGCGTTACATAAGATAAAAATAAAAGAAAAAAAATAAATTCAGGGGCGTTTTCTTCTCACACTAATTATAATTTGGATTTAATTTTTAAGTATCTATAATTAATAAGCTCTATATAAATCTCACTATAAATGGTGTGCGGTCTTTTATGACTTTACAAAATGATGTATCTTTCTCTAGTTTAAACTTTTAACTATCATGAAAAAAATAAGTCAAATGGAGTGTATTCTGGTGGAAGTAATTGACGTCAATTTTAGACAATAACATAAATATACGTATATGTCCTTGCAACTAAACAAATGTGTGATAATATTAAATATTTCCTGTCATCTTTATTATAAGAAAATATTTAAAAGGAAATGAATGTTCTATAAGGCATTTTACTGTTTACAAAGTATTAATTTTATTTTATTTATCTCAGCCCCATTAAAGTTAGTGAGAATATGTGTTTTTGTTATTAGACAATGAGAAGAGAATTTTATAAATTAACATTATCTCTTACACTTTATAAACTCTCTAATTATTATTCATTAATTTTATTAATATTGATACATAAATTTTGATATA